GGGGAGGGGGGAAGCTTGGCTGCTGCAGAACCAAGCTTCTGCCTCCGCAGAGGAGATCAGTGGGCGGGGGGGCTGAGTGGGGCGGGGGGCCGGGACCCCCCCCACCGCTCTCCCCTGCAGGGGCAGGAGGCAGAAGCTTGGTCCTGCGGCAGCCAAGCTTCCCTCCTCCCCCTTCTTCCCCCAGCGTGGTGCTTTCCGGCCCCTCCGCCCCTCTTCCTCCTCCTCTCACCGGGCAGGCAGCGTGCCACTCAGAATCGGCTCGCGTGCCGTCTTTGGCACGCGTGCCGTCGGTTGCCGACCCCTGATCTAGACCATATTTCCCTAGTTTGCTAATGAGAATGTCCTAGCAGACTGTGTCGAAAGTCTTACTAAAGTCAAAATATTTCATGTCTACTGTTTCCCCGTGACACCCTGGCACCGCAATATTCACCGTCATATAATTAGGATATGTTTTGTACAAAGTATGCCATATGAGATATCATTCTAAAAGTCTTGATCTGCTAGACATTAATATCTCATTTGATTGTATGTGCTATCATTGTATGTGAAGTTATGAAGTTTGGCTATGTATGTGTTACTGAAACATGGCCTGAGGTTGAAAACACCCATAAGCAGCCTTTGAGGTACAACAGTAAAAAGGCCAAACAATGTTAATGGCTTATTGAGGAAATAAACACAAGCACAAGAATTACCCCATGAACTGTATACAATAGAAACCTCTCAGAGATAGCAGTACACACTGGGAACTGTTTGACCCAGGTCACAGCAAATGAGCTTTCCAGCAAGTGGGAAGAAGATATAAAAGGGGGAAATGACATCATAATGGTACCTCACTCTCCCTACAACAACACACCTAGGCATAAAGACTGAACTAGGGGAAGTGATGGTCCCAGGCTAAAGGGATTTTTAGCCTGTGAATGGAACACCTGGGGAATTCCAAGCTGTAAGCAAGTGCAGCTTGCCCCTTAAGAATCTGCAGCCTACTTATATCCAAAGAGATGATACGAATAGCAGCTTTTCACCCTATCTGTTTAGTATATTAAGTTTAGTTTGAGTTTTTGTTTGTTTGCTATGTAATCTGCTTTGATCTGTTTGCTATCACTTATAATCAATCTTTTGTAGTTAATAAACTTGGTTTTGCTTTAACTAAACCAGTGTGTAGGAATCATAACTCAGGGGCAAAAGGCTGCTGCATATTCCTCTCCACATTGAGGGAGGGCTGAATTTTATGAGCTTACGCTGTACAGTTCCCTGTGAAGTGCAAGATGATATAATTTTGGGTTTATACTCCAGAGGGGGTGCGTGCCTGAGGAGCTGGTAGTTGCCCTAGCTGTAGTCTTCCCATACAGGGGCTGGTCAGAGAGCCTGCATGTAACTGCAGCTAGGTGTGTCCCTACCTGTATGTATGCTGGTGAAAGTGCAGGCTGGAGGCTCGAGGACTTTGCAGCTTGTCACAGCAGTACAGTGTAAAAGGGAGCCCAAGCTGGTGGGTCGGGGGGCTCAGTGGTACTTCAGTTCCAGGTGACACGCTGCGGGGGAACCCATCACACCCCCATTCATGAGACTGGTTTCCCTAACAAAGAAGGAAATCAGATTGGTTTGGCATGATTTCTTCTTGACAAATTCATGTTGGCTATTACTTATAATGCTATTATTCTCTAGGTGCTTACAGTTTGATTGTTTAATAGTTTGGCCAATATCTTTCCAGGTATCGGAGTTTAGGCTTAAGGGGATATAATTTCCCCTTTTTAAAGATAGGTACTATGTTTGCCCTTCCCCTCTCCTCTGGGACCTCAGCTGTCCTCCATAAGTTCTCGAAGATAATCACCAACAGTTCAGAGTTTGCTTCAGCTAGTTCCTTAAGGCCCCTAGGATGAATTTCATCAGGCCCTACTAACTTGAATACATATAAATATTCTTTAACCTGTTATTTCCCTATTCTGGTATGAGTTCCTTGCCCCTTGTTAATATTAATTGTGTTAAGCATCTGGTCACAGTGAAGACTGAAGCCAAAAAGGCATTAAACATTTCATCCTTCTCTGTGTCATCCATTATTTGCTCTCCTTTCTCATTAGTTAATAGAAGATAAAGGGGAAAGAACGTGTAGGTCTAACATATTTCTAGAACCACTTCTTACTGTCTTTTATGTCCCTTGCTAGGTGTAACTCATTTTGTGTCTTAGCACAAACTATGTATATTCACAACTGACTCCAGTTTAATGTAGCTTTTGTCTAGGACTGGTGTGGTACATTGTATTTGAGAGGAACAGTGGGTCAGTGAAGTATAAAAGAACTTGCATATCTTTGGCTCCACAATAATGTCTACGTGTCTAGTGTGCCAGCCCCTTAACATTTTCTTTTGTTCACAATGGTTCTGTAGCCCACGAGAGTTGAATCTGCAGATGCAATACAGTAACGCCTCACTTAACTTTGTAGTTATGTTCCTGAAAAATGTGACTTTAAGTGAAACGATGTTAAGCGAATCCAATTTCCCCATAAGAATTAATGTAAATGGGGGGAGGGGAGGTTCCAGGGAAATTTTTTTCACCAGCCAAAAAACTATATTATATAGATATACACACAGTATACGTTTTAAACAAACAATTTAATACTGTTCACAGCTATGATGATTGTGAAGCTTGGTTGAGGTGGTGAAGTTAGAGGGTGGAAGAGGGAGGGATATTTCCCAGGGAATGCCTTGCTGCTAAATGATGAACTAGCACTCGGCTGAGACCTCAAGGGTTAACACATTGTTGTTAATGTAGCCTCTCACACAAGGCAGCACGAACACGAGGGAGGGGAGACAGCATAGCAGACAGAGACAGACACATACCTTATGTGTGGGGGGGAGAGAGAGAGAGAGAGAGAGAGAAATGCACACTGCCCCTTTAAGTAAGCTGACCCACTCTTAAGTGCATTGTCTTTTTAAGTGGATCAGGAAGTTGAGACAGCAGCTGCTGCCCCAGACTCTCTCTATCTCTCTCCATCCGTGTCCCTTCCCTGTTCTATATGGAGAAGGGGTAAGTGGGGTGCAGGAGCAGGGGGAGTGGGACACGCTGACATTAGCCCCCCCTTTCTCCCCCCTGCACAGCAAGCAGGAGTCTCTGGGAGCAGCTCCAAGGCAGAGGGCAGGACAAGACATGGCAATGGGGGGGTGGAACAGCTGACCTGCCCAGCAGTTGATAGCCTGCTGGGCGGCTGCAGCACAGAGAACTTAGGGGAGGGGGGAGCTGATGGGGGGCTGCCAGTCCACCCTGGTTCCAAGCCCCCACCAGGTAGCTGCAACGGGCTGCTCTTCCTGCAAGCAGTGGACAAAGCAGGCGGCTGCCAAACAGCGTTAGAAGGGAGCATTGCACAACTTTAAACGAGCATGTTCCCTAATTGATCAGCAATGTAACAAAGAAACAACGTTAACCAGGACGACTTTAAGTGAGGAGTTACTGTATTGCTGGAGAAAGTCAGTCACAAATAATGAAACCTCCCTTCTCACAAGAAAAAAAAAAAGCAGCACTCAGAAGAAAACATGAATAGTACAAAACACCGGCATAAAGAAGGGAGAGTTTGCAAACAAACCGCGTTTGTAAATTACTATTATTTTAATTGAACCTTTATATTACATGGAATCTTCCATTTTCCCCCCCCCAGAAAGGCTCCATGTTTGAGAACTGTTGTTTCTTAAGTCTTAAGTCTTTGCCTATGTAAACCTTTGAGCCAGTTTCCCTAGTTCAGCTGGTGCAGAGCAGAGATGGCTGTGCTGTAATCCTCTTCCAAATCCAGCACTGTCTGGATAATCTCTTCATCCTCAGTGTTTGGTCTTCGGTGCCTTGTCTCAGAACTGCTGCTCGCATCCATAAAGATGGCTAAAACATCATCTCTCAGGGGGGGCTCACCTGAGCGCCTGTGAACTCTGCTTAACTCATTCACTAGGGCCAGCTGGCCTGCTAACTCCTCTATACCCCAACTGTTTGGGTTCCCTACAAAATAAAGGAAAATGCCATGAAAACCAGTCCATCAGTGTAATCAGTAATTGGAGAAGAGTAAGAGAGGCTGTAAATATCTATAGATTCATTATAACCACTCAGGGATCTTTACATGGGCACCAACACATCTCCCACCATATACTGGCCGAAGTGTGGCTCAGGAGCGCTGGAGACCTTTTGTACCCCAGTATGCTACGAGCACTGGGCTCCCCACACTGGTTTGCTGTGGGTGCTGCTCAGAAGCATGGTGTTGTGTACATTTTAATCCCACCCCTCTTATTTGTCTCCTCTCTAAAGTGAACAATCCCAGTCATTTTAATCTTTCTGCATATAGGGGTTCTCCAAACCCTGGATCATTCTTGTCATCCTTCTCTGAATCCCCATCTAGTTCTACAGTTGTCTCTTTGATAAGGGGTGACCACTCCTGCACACAGTATCTGGATGAAGCTTTACTGTTGATGGAGATAAAGGCATTATATTTTCTGCATCACTCTCCATCCCATTCCTTATGAATCCTAACATGTGCACTGAGCAGCGGTCTCCTCTGAGCTGTCCAGTGATACTTAGATGCCTTTCCTGATACAGCTTATTTGGAATCCTGCAAATCTGTATGGGTAATTCATTTTTCCCCTCCAGTGTGCATTACCTGGCATTTATCAATACTGAATTTCATGTGCCAGCATGTTGCTCATTCATTAAGCTGAGCAGGTAGATAGCATAGTTGTAGATATTGGCAAAAATGTGGCTTTTGCAGGCCAGAGTACCAAGGTTTGAGACGCACGTAGGGATGTCATTGGTACACAGCTGTGAGAGTGTGAAAATGTCCCTTTTCATCCACTCCATTCCTGTCATAGGTTTTCCCCTACAACGAAATCTGGGCTGTCCCTTAGAACTGCCACTGCATATAACATGGTGAGAAAGTGTAGGAGCCCAGTTAGGTCTGTCTCTTGTTTGGTGGTATAGATGGCAGAGGCGAGGATTGGGAGTGACATGTTTTATAATCCCAGAATATATGGCAGTGAATGAGGTCTGTTAAATTCCCATTCTTTACATACCCAGGCTGAGGTCTTTGTATCCTGCCCCGATACCAAGTGAAAGACCTGCCTTAGTAGCAAGCATTCTGGAAAGTCTGAATCTGGCCTTAGAAGCAACTCAATATAGCTTCAAATGGCACTTTTCTCAGAGGAAGTGGTGGCTGTTCTACTGATTTAGTGTAGCAAGCTTGGGGGCTGTAGGTGTATAATAACTGGGGCAGGATGTTTGTCTTGATAATATTCACCCAGTGCCATTTTTTCAGGCCATTTGATATTGCATTTGGCAGGATTGAGGGATTGCACACAGCAGCGCGTCAACTGCAAAGGGAGAGGGGAAGATAGTTATCAATCTCCTCCCCCCTTATGCTGTGCCCATGGCCAAGGAACATGCCCAAACCACAGGCACTACAGATCTGGGATGATGATCTGCTAGCAAGGCTAGCAGGAGAGAGAGGGGCAGGTTGGGATGTGGTGGATTTCAGCTGTGTACAAGCAGTGCTGCTGGAGGCGTCAAAGATGGGGAAAGAGACTGTTGGGACCAGGAGGTCATGGCAGAATCACTGTGGGGTCTCAATCCTGGCAGTGGGGGCATTGGGTATCTCAGGATGCCCCCTCTGGCTGAGGGGCACACTGATTTGCTATTGGGGCAGCTCAGCAGCACTGAAGGTGCTGAACTGATACTACTTAAGATTTAAATCCTCTGTAGAACAGGTATATCATGCAGAGCCAGCTTCCTATCTCCTTCGGCTGGAGGCATCACCTCTGGGGTGAGAGGGTAGTTTAGCCTCAACGTTGAATCAGTGCTTGGCTTTTTTTGCCGAGCATATTCATCATGCTGCCACTTGGGGTGCAGTGGCCATACACCCAGAGTGAACTGGACTGAGACACAAAACACATTTCATCTAGTTCACCAAGCAGCTACTGGGTGTTAGTAGGTCTGTCAAGTGATTAAAAAATTTAATTGCGCTTAATCGCACTGTTAAAGAATAATAGAATACCATTTATTTAAATATTTTTGGATGTTTTCTACATTTTCAAATATATTGTGTGACAGACCCAGATCAGTGGGGTACAGGAGTCTGGTAGAGGGCAAATATACTGGTCACTGGATGAGTAGTTTTCTGTTCCCTGAGTGACCAGAGCAGGGGCTGCACTAGAGTAATCAGGAACCTGCTAGAACCAGTTAAGGCAGGC